TGTGTGTGTGTGTGTGTGTGTATTGCAGAAGCTCGGTACGGCTGGCGATACGAAAGATCATGTACGCGCCGTCGAAGCAAGGCGAACAGCCTTCCGTCGAGGTGAGCAAAGAGTTCGTCATGTCGCCGAACAAGCTTCATCTGGAGGCGTCGTTGGACAAGGAGCTGTACCACCACGGCGAGAACATCGCCGTGAACGTGCACATAGCGAACAGCAGTAACCGGACGGTGAAGAGAATCAAAGTGTCCGTGAGGCAGTTCGCGGACATTTGTCTCTTCTCCACCGCGCAGTACAAGTGCACGGTCGCCGAAGCGGAGAGCGAGTGAGTATCATTCATTGCACGCCATTCTTCTCTATGAACACGCGACACGGGGGGGACGTGAAACGTACCAACAGCCCGTGAAAGTGTGGCAACAAATGGATCCGTGTCCATATATGTAGCGTATTGCATATTGTTCGCTAACCGACGAGAAACATTCTCTCGTTGTTTCGTATCTCGTCGCGACGGTGGGGAATTTCAGTCGTAAATTCGAGATTCGTTTTGTCGCGAATCGAAGTTCACCGGGTCGCGAGGATTACCCCGGTTGGAGTTCTCGAACCAAGCTATTTATTGCCACGGCTTTCACCACGATTCTCCGAAAAACGTATTAACGCGGCGGCCGCGATAGTCGAAGAAATTTCTGCTCGCGTTCGACGTAAACGAACGTCCTGCGTCTGCTGGCAATTGATCCATCGACGTTGACAGAGTGCTCGAGAAGACGTTTCACGTTTTATCGAGCGGCTCGATATCCTTAAATAGCAACCAGCTGACCTATACACGGTGGCGTCGCGGTCACAGAAGTCGCGAAATTCAACTCACGTAACATATTCTGCGACGTGACCAAGAACGGGACCACTCGCGGGATCCATCGACGCAAACGCAGGAACGCGTATAAATCGCATCGCGTTGCAATTGCTTTCGAATTGAACGCGAGAATTTACTCAGGCGTCAACGACGCCTTCGTACTGGTTTCTGCGCGTCTCATGTCGGAGGAATATGAATATGAATTTGAGATTTACCGATTTACGCTTTTCGGCCGCGCGACGAAACTAGAAAAAGAAAAGATTCGACTCCGACGTGTCGCCTCACCTCTACGAAAAACGAACGATAGTAGAACTATGGAGGTATCTTCACATCTATCGGTGAAACTCTGTTGAAACGAAAGGGAGACGCGCCACTGTGTGAAATTGTGTAACGGTGAAAGGAGACGAAACAAACCGTCCCGATTAATGTTAACGATAGGTGCGTTGACTTACAAGTTAGTAGAGCGCGATAAATGCCAAGAGAGGAGTTGTAACACGACGAAACGGAAAATAAAATGATTGCACTGGCAGTGTAGGGGTATCGCCAGGATTCACTCTGAGCAAGGTCTTTTCTCTAAAGCCAACGCTTGCTGACAACAAAGACAAGCGAGGTCTTGCTCTAGACGGCCAACTTAAGCACGAGGACACCAATCTCGCATCTAGTACAATGTGAGTGTTCAAACATTGGCCGGCTACCATTTCTCCCTCGCCCTCCCCTCAAGCGAACGTTCGCGGTCGAAGACTGGAAACGGGCCAAATGATTCTGGAAAACTCTCGCGGAGTAGCTTGCCTGAGATTTGTTGCGATGTTTCCGCGCATTCCTGTCTCGTCATCGGTCGGAAGAATAACAGTCTGGAATGTTTGGGCGATTTTCGCGGTTCGCTTCTAACTTTGAACGTGTTCGCGTTATCTCG